TGTATATATATATATATATATATATTTTCACTGTGATATTCCTTTCTCCTATTATAACATGTAATCCAAGCAGAACAATAGATGTTCACTTTGGTTTAGTAAAATCAGCTCTTTATCCTATTCTATAGATCAGATAAATGGCCTGCTGCAAGCTCATTGAGGGAAACCATTTCTTAGCAACAACTTAAGAACATAATTCTATTGGCACAAAACAGGAATGATTATACGTTGTTGTTGTGGGCCATCGAGTCGAGTACAGCCCCTAGTGACCCGTATAGTGACCCTATGTCGTTTATCGTTGGATGGACACAGATAAAAGTGAACACTGAACCATAATGAAAGAATTTCAGGGAACTAATTCTGAGCAACAAATCTTTGTGACAATGCATCTTCCTTGAGATTCATTCATAATTATACATTATCTTTGGAAAACAATTTGTAGCTTTTATCACCTTCACAGATATTTCATTTCAATCTTCATAATAACGTTATAATTGAAAATTCAAATATGCAATGCAATAAAGTAATTTTTGAGAAACATAAGTAGGCAGCCTGGGGCAGAGAAAAGGGAAAGGATGGGTTATGATTTGAGGTGTAGGGGAACAGATGGGACTTCACAGCTGCTCAGATAAGGAAGATATTTGGTGAGAATTGGCCAACAAGGGTTTACTGGGGCCAGGGAAGTTCCAAACCTGGAAAAGAATAAACCCTTTTCATGTTCTTCATACTTTTAGGCTCAATTGGGAAAGCTCTGCCTATGGACAGAAATTCATAAACTTTCTTTATGTTGAGTGAATGGCAATTTTGTGGGTTGCTTTGTCCTTACCAACCACCCCAAGATTCACACCACTTGTTAAGACATTCTCTTGAGCTTTTGTGTCTATTAACAAAATATTCCCTTTACATCAACACAGAATGGTGTGCAGGGAAGAGAATTGGTTTTGGAGTTATTCAGACTTGGATCTGAATCCCGGTTTTATGATTTATCAATTGTGTAAGCTTAGAAAAATTACCTCCCAGCATTAATCTACTCCCCTCAAAATGTTGATCGTTGTTGTTGTTGTTAGGTGGCCTCTAGTCAGTTCCGACTCATAGCGACCCTACGTACAACACAACAAAACACTTCCGGGTCCTGCGCCATTCTCACAATCATAGTTATGCTACAGCCCATTGTTGCAGCCACTGTGTCAATCCATTTTGTTGAGGGTCTTCCTCTTTTCGCTGACCCTCTACCAAGCATGATGTCCCTTTCCAGGGACTGATTCCGCCTGATAACATGTCCAAAGTATGTGAGATGTAGTCATGCCATCCTTGTTTCTATGGACCATTCTGGCTGTACTTCCAAAACAGATTTGTTTATTCTTTTGGCAGTCCATGGTATATTCAATATTGTTCGCCAATATCATAATTCAAAGACGTCAATTCTTCTTCAGTCTTCCTTATTCATTGTCCAGCTTTCACATGCATATGAGGTGATTGAAAACACAAAGCTTGGTTCAGGCGCACCTTAATATTAAAGGTAACATTTTTGCTTTTTAACAGTTTATATTGGTGTTTTGCAGCAGATTTTCCCAATGCAACGTGTCATTTGATTTCTTGACTGCTGCTTCCATTGGTGTTGATTGTGGATCCAAGTAAAACGAAATCCTTGACAACTTCAATGTTTTCTCCGTTTATCATGATGTTGCTTATTGGTCCAGTTGTTGTTGTGCTGTTAGGGGCCATTGAGTAGGTTCCGACTCAGTGACTCTATGTACAACAGAACGAAACACCACCAGGTCTTGCGCCATTCTAACAATTCTTGTTATACTTGAGCCCATTGTTACAGCCTCTGAGCCAATCTATCTTGGTGAAGGGTTTTCCTCTTTTTTGCTGATCCTCAACTTTACAAAGCTGTAGTGAGGATTTTTGTTTTCTTTATGTCTAGCTGTAATCTATACTGAAGGCTGTAGTCTTTGATCTTCATCAGTAAATGCTTCAAGTCCTCTTTACTTTTAGCAAGCAAAGTTGTATCATCTGCATAATGCAGCTTGTTAATGAGTTTTTCTCTAATCCTGATGCCATCTTCATCCTCATATATTCCATCTTTTTGGATTATTTGCTCAGCTTACAGATTGGCTATATATGGTGAAACTATACAACCCTGACACACATACATTTCTTGACTTTAAACCGCTCAGTATTCCCTTGTTCTGTCGGAAGGATTGTCTCTTGATCTGTGTACATGTTCCTCATGAGCACAATTAAGTGTTCTTGAATTCCCATTCTTCCCAATGTTATCCATAATTTGTTATGATCCACACAGCAGAATGCCTTTGCATAGTCAGTAAAACACAGGCAAACATCTCTGTATTTTCTGCTTTCAGTCAGGATCCATCTGACATTGGCAATGATAACCCTGATTCCACGTTCTCTTCTGAATATGCCTTGAATTTCTGGTCATTCCCTGTCGATGTACTGCTGCAGATGCTTTTGAATGATCTTCAGCAAAATTTTAATTGGGTGTGATAGTAATGATATTGTTCAATAATTTCCACATTCAGTTGGATCACCTTTCATGGGAGTAGGTATAAATATGGATCTCTTCCAGTTGGTTGGTCAGGTAGCTATCTTCCAAATTTCTGACATAGATGAGTGAGTA